CTGATTTCCTGTCCCACTGATTTGGCCTTTTGTGATCAGATCATACTGCGCTTGCCTGCTCTGTCTCCCACGGAGATTGCCACCACCCATAAATCTCTTTGGGGACATGCGAGCTCAGGTTCTCAGCCGGGGAAACACCCTTTCAGAAGACTATTCCAGGATATGCGACACTTATTATGGGGTTTACAGACAGCCACATCTGTCAAAGGAGGGGCAGTGCTGTTTTTGGATGGTAATTGAGCTTTCAATCATAATAAAATTGAATTGTGGACAGAGCTGCATCCAGTATGGAACAGCTGATTTACCATCTCTGGAAAAAAAAAACCACACACACACACACACACACACACACTACAGCTTTGAAGTGTGGTTAAAATTTGAGGGTGATAGCAAGATTTGGGAACTATGCCGTACTTGGATGGTGAGGCTGATGAACTGGATTACACTGCTGGGGAGTTTAATAAATTGTACTGATATTTTGACACGACTGGACTAAGTCGTCCAGAAGTGGACTATAGTAGTTCTGGAAGAAAACTCCAGAACTACTATGTTTACTGTGATTTCCACAAAGGAATCAGCTGACCTGAAAAAATGAGCCGATCCAATGGCCTTTTTGAGATCAGGGGTTTGCCCACCACATGACTGCAACCTCCCCAGTGAATATTTGACACCTCCATCTAGTGGTGGATTGAGGGAGTACGCAGGTCACGACAGTGCAGCTGCAGGAGTTCTAATGTGGGTTTTTGTTATTCTTGGCACATCAGCCCAGGCATCTCTGTTTGAATAATGTGATCTTTTCTGATACTAAACTCATTTCACAGTGGCCCAGATATGATGTTTGGAATTTCAATGCACATACATAAACATACTCAGGTTTACACACACACACACAAACATGCTACTGTCCCCATGGCAACTGAAGCAATAACCGTGTATTTGAAACCATCTTCCTCACTCTTACTCCACTCTTACACACTCTTTGATTTACTCTCTCTTCTTCACTCAGTGTTTGAAGGCACAACACCATCTTTAGCTCTTGGTGAGAGCCACAGGTTATTGCTACCGGATGGAAAACTACTCCTCTGACTAAACACTCCAAACCATTACCCGTTGTAGGATTACCACGAAGAGGTGTCTCATTCCACACATTCAGTTTTTTTTTCTTGCACATGTAGTTGGAAAGAAGGGGCAAAGAGACAAAAGTATAAAGTTGAAGGCAGTACTCATCTGACAAGCGTTGAACCCACAATTGGAACAAAGCCCAGAGCTTATCAGAGACTAATGCCACTGTTGTTGCTTTGGAAAACCCTGCTCCTGCCAGTATGCTCTCTTCTGCCTAACAGCAGCACGCCTCACGGTTTCCTCCTTTTTCCCTCAGCTACCCCATTGGCTGAAACTACAACAAGAGATCTCCTGCAAGTGACATCATTACTCCCTCTCCCGTTGAGCAGCATATGTCATGACCACATGGTAAACTTAAATGAAGAGATGTAGTTTGCTTTCTTATTCAAATATAGCTATATCTGTTACAGTTGCATTATATGTGAGCTGCAGCTTTTGTTTTCAGACTTGATTGCGGAAGCAAACGTCAGTTCATGCCCTGGAGAGGCCAACCAGGAGAGGAGACATAAACTTGTGTTATTGATTGTTTCTTTGCAAGTATCCTATCCTCTCACTATGCAGCCAAAGCAACAACAAAAAAGAAGAAGTCTTCTGATCCTTACAGGAATGCCCTTTTTTATATAGCTATAAGGTGGTAGTAAGTATATGAAACTTCTCCTTTTGCCCAGCTGCTTCGAGTTTGAGCTTCACTTTTAACAGCAAGTGTTCACCCCTCAAAGGTTATCGTGGCTTATTCAAGCACAACGGCGCTTCGCTTTAGCCAGTTAGCACATTTAGAACATTGCTTTAGCTTAGCATTAGTTAACATTTGACCTTCAGAAGGCATCTCAAACTGTAAGGTGTCATTTTTAAACCAGTGTTCC